CAATAAAATAAGGTTTTAGATCAAGCATAACAATTGACGATTTCCCTCTAAAACCTGCAAAACATACACCAAATTAGACATAATTTCAGTAGTAATATCTTGATTTGAAGTTGGAATTTTTTTTTTTTTTTTTTTTTTTTTTTTTATAGAGTGAGGCCTGGCCTCGGTCTTTATTGAATAATTTATGCATTACATTAATTGAAGTTGGAATTTTTGATAGCTTGCTGTTCATTCGTTCATATGCAAAGCACCAAATTCCATATACTGGCCTATAGTCAAGAAAACATTCTTTTAAATGAATATGTATATGTATATTGGGTGTTATAAACTCCTTCCCAAAAATTGTTTTTACAGCGACACAAAATTGATAAATAAATTCATGCGCTTTCTCAATTTCAGATATACAAATTATCCTTTGTGACCACAAAGCATTAGCATACACAAAGTCTTGCCAATATTTTCGATGATTTTCAGATAACAAGTTACGAATAGCTAAAGTTGAATAAACCAATACCCAATTTTTCCATTGATCAGCTGTAAATGATGAAAATTCGGCCATGATTTTATGAAGAATTCAACCTATACTATATGGGGTGAGTTGCGATCAATAATATTTTGTATAATTTCTAAATCTTTTTTAGAAATTAAAGGTTTATTATTAACATTAATAGAAGTCCAAAGTTTTGTAATATATTGTGCAGTTTCTAAGTATAGATTATGCATCGGATTAATTACTATAAAGCGAATAAGATCAATATATGGAAGACATTGTAACAGAGTCTATCGAATTTTATATTCATCAAATATTCGCTTTTTTTCTCTATTAGCTTTATTTAACAAATTATTAGACAATTGTTTATGTCTAATATTACTAAGATGAGGAAATTCTTGATCAAATCCTGAAAAGTTTACTTTTCCACTTTTTGGATGATTACTTGAAAATGTTGAAAAATTCTTAGTATATCTATAACATCTATTTTTAGAAGAGTGTCCTACAAATCTTGATATTTTACGTACTGCTGGTATATCATATACGATAAGTATTAAAGCACTACAAAAAGCCAACCATTAGAATATTTTGAAGTTTTAATTAAAATTCCAGTCTATAGCTTATCTAATTCATAAACAAATAGTTATGAATTTCAACAACTGAAGGTTCATGAGGCCCCAAAATTAAGCTAACCAAAAAATATTCTTGGTTTGATACTGAATATGTCTTGGAAAATTCAAGATAGTTAAATAAATAGCTCCAACTGATATTGGTGAATGCTTGTATGGATTAAACCAGTCAATGTTAAGTGAAAACCCTAATCTTCCTTTAGCTGAATTACCAACAAAAAAGGCAGTTCCATCATTGTCTTTAAATGTATGCCAGATATAGCCATCATATATATCTGAAAGTAAATTATTTGGTAGTAATGAGCGTTTATAACAAGATTCTAATGCTTCTTCTATTTCTGGAATTAAAAGAATTTTTTAAGATGCGAAATAATCGAATGGTAGAATATATTTTAATAGCCTATATAAAAAATAATATTAGATATTTACAATAGATATAAAACATTATAATGATTATTAAATACCTTGTATAATATTCTTCCTTTAGATATGCGAACAGGTTTTTTGAGTTCTGCTCTACAAATACAATTTGATTGATATGATTCATCTAAATATTCTTGTGTCCAAAAAAGTTTGTGACATTTTGGACATACATAAAATTTTATAAAATTTTGTCTAATCCAAGAAGGTTTGAAACACGATAATTCGATTTAGAAAAAGTTGCAAAATAGTCAGAATCAATATAATTTAATATGAAGTATAAAAAATTAAAAAGAATTTCTGTCGACATTTTAGCAAAATCCATTGCGTGTTTAAAAAGTAAAATCTATAAAACAATCTATTGAATAATTATTGGTGCAGTAAATAATAAACATGGTATATTACTTGGATCTGATTCGAAATGAATTGAAAAATTGGTAGTAAAAAAATTTGGTTCATGTTCAGTATCTTTATCGTTATACGTAGTATTTTCATTATTATATTCATTGCTCATATAGCCCTCAGTTTCATTTTCATCATCATATTCATTGCTTGTATAGCCCCTAGTTTCATTATCAATAATAATAGAATCATATGATTTCTCTTCAAAATTATCTAAGTTTGAATTAATATCTAATAGATCAAGTTGTGTCTTATACTTATTGTCGCTATCCGATTCAATAATCGTGTCATTAGCTAGACCAAATTGTGTAAGATCTATATTATTAGCAAACCTATTCCTTTTCTTGTGATTTGGTCCTTTTGCATAATTATCAAGGTTTAAAAAATTAAAATTTTGATTTTGCTCTGTATATTCGGACACTGAAGCAAAATTAGATTCAGAAATTTCTATATTTTCAGATATGAAAAATGAATCCAACAAAGTATCTGTATTTTTTGATACTATGGATAGGTCTGGTTCAAAATCTAAAGGAAGCTCACTACTATTATTGATAAAATTCTCTTGAATTATTGATGTCGATGATATAGGGTCATCAGACATATATAAATCAAAATGATTATTTCAAGTTCTTTGATCGACCCTCTTTCTATTGCATTCTGGACATATACAAATATATACCATTTTTGTAAAAGATTTTATTTATTATTAAAAGGATTAAAGTTTTTTTTTAAGAAAAAAAATTGCTTGTAGAGATAAGGTTTAAGGTAAAAGGTAAGAAATTTTTTTTATTTGAATTTTTTCATTTATTTGAATCAGATTACTAATCTGAAATTTGTTTGATAATTCTGATGACCAGATTTGTCACAATTAGGCTCTATACTTTGTCACAATTTGTCAATTTTGATGTAATTATGATTAGTAAAATATAAATTGAGATACTATATTTAAAAAATATGCTTTCAGGTTTTCGCTAGATTCTTATTACATTGTCGATTCAGATAATTATTATTTTTTTTATCTCTTTATGTGTTTTTTTTTTACACTAAATATAGTATTCTTTCTTTGTATTTAATTTTATATTATGTTTTGTAGTTTAAATCTTACAATCTTTAGTCTTCGGTAGTGCAACTAGGTGGTTTTCTTTCATTGAATTGGGAAGTATTTATTATTATTATTATTATTATTATTATTATTATTATTATTTTATTATCTTTCTAAAAATCTTCTGTTAATACTTATCAATTTATTATGATCTCTTGGCCCTACTGGGCGTTACTAGAAGTATATTATATTTTGTTTGTCATTCATATTATTGTATCCTATACATTACTAATAGTTTTATATTATTATTTCATTAGGCTTTTCTACCAATTTTATAATCTGATTATTCATCACTCGCTACTCTAAAATCTTTTTTATTTTTATGCTTTCAGCTCATGTTTGATTTGGCGTATCTGTCTTGCAAATTTATTCAATTCTAGAGAGGATACCCTTCAATTATTATACTTGATCTGAACCTGATTCATGCCTAATTTGGTGTATGTTTTGCAGGTTTTAGAGGGAAATCGTCAATTGTTATGCTTGATCTAAAACCTTATTTTATTG